GGGGGGGGGTTGGTGGGAGGGAGGGTATAGACTCACTTTTAAACATCACTTTTCAATTTTTTTTTTGCTTTTGATTTACATCTTTAATTAAATGTTTAGTTGAACTATGATTTTGAGGAATGAAATGCAATTGTTGGGAAAGATCGCAGTTATAATTTTAAGGGAAAGTTTTATTATTAAGAATCAGTCAAAAATATTTGATCCTGGACAGATCAGAGATAATGAGTGCAATGATTTATGGTAGATTAGAAGCCGTTGGGGACTGGCTGTATGTGAAATACAGTAATAGATTATTAACAGAGGCCTTTGAACTTTAGTTACATTGTTGGATTTACCTGTTGTTTTTTTAACAGTAAGTAGATGGTAGGTCAAATTACCTGGGCAAGTAGAACTGTAGTAGTTTATCAATTGTAGACTTTTTGTGTGTGCAAAAGTAAACTATATATATATATATATATACTGTATATATCAGTATTCAACTGGAGGGACAATATACGTATGTATTTTAATGCATGTTTTTGCCTTGTATAGTTTGTGCTTTGTTTGTTGCTATGTCCTCCTTTTTCTGTTGAAGTTTGTGTTTTAACTTTGGAAATACAATAAAAAAAAATTAAGTCTCAATAACTGTGAGAACTAAGGGTGGCAGTGAAAGAGTTACAATAAGGGCATGATAGCCCAGGGGCAAAAAAAATGTGATTCTCTCTTTGATGCCCTGAGGTCTAAGCACTGCGCTTATTTTGCTTAATGTTCAATCCAGGATTTGTCAGTGTGGAAAATAGTTCAATTGGGATAGGCATTTTTCGAGGTGGCCTTCTTGTGCCTTTCAGGAACATCATAGCATGAAACTCATCACACTGCTATTGCAAATCATCCCCAAGGGAATCAGGAAAATGAGACTCTGTCTATATTTCTCTAATTGGTGATGTTCTCCAACCTTCCTTTTTCAGCATCTATAGCGGTTCTCTGTACTTTGACATCTTCTGCAGAAGAGATTGGTAAAGACTGCAAAACAGCTGGTGCAGCACTGATCCAGTGTGACATCCAAATCAAAGCAAATGCTGATGTTGTTACAGCAGCCACCCCGTTCCTATTCTTTTGTGATGATTTGGCTTATTCCTCTGTAAGGTCTAACAAGACCTCTATCAACTCATCCCACGTCCATTTTTCTGGCTTCCTTCTCAGGTTAGATATAACTTTTTCTAACTCTAGCTGGGATCTTACAAATTTCTTTCAAAATATATAGCGCCTGGTCAGTGGTGGGATTCAATTTTTTTTACTACCAGTTCTGTGGGTGTGGCTTGGTGGGCATGGCTGTATACTGTAAAATCTCCAGTCAGAGGTGGTATTTGCCGGTTTTCCAAACTACTTAAAAGTTTCCATTCCCAGTTCTCCAGAACTGCTCAGAACCTGCTGAATACCACCTCTGCACCTGGTGGAAAGCAAAATCTATGGAATACTGAGGGGGTGGGGGAGATTAGGGATGATGAAACACAGGTATGCAAAAAAAACTTCCTTTATCTCAATTATGTTGATTTACTGCATAAAAATGCTATGACAGCAATTATATGAAGCATTGATCTAGCAAGCAGATTCACTGTGGATTTAAGGCAGAGAGAGAGAGAGAGAGAGAGAGACAACCAGTGGCCCTTCAAATGTTGGACTTCAATTCTCATGATACTCCATCACTGCTGGGGCTCATGGCAACTGAACCATGTTTGGAAAGCAGTATGTTGCCAATTCCTGGTTTTAAGCTACACATCACTGTCCCACTTGATTAACTAGGCACCAGTTCCTTAATGGCATACACTGGCCTGATGTCCAGGGAAGTGACTACATTATTGAAGGTTATCACCATTCAGCTTGCAATTGTGCAACTCTCCATATTTCTAATTGCAATCTGATATACTGTACAATAATTAAGGTATACCTGACATCTCCTGTATAGTAAGCTGTAATCTGTGTTATCTACCATGCAGATATCTTACTACTGATACTTTTTTTGCAATTTCTCTACAATTTTCAGAATTGTCCACCCAGGCTCCAATGAATTGCCCCCAGTGAATTTGTTTATAAGCATCTCTTACTTGATTGGGATTAACTTATTAGTGAAAAAAAGGGGGATGGCTTGCATTAGATTGCAAGGGATGTCTTATCTTGATGTCTGTAATGATTTGGGTACCCAGGATACAGTCCAGAATTTAGTACATTTCCTGCTAATTCTTGGGGTGTAAAGATTTCAAAAAGAATAGCAAAAAGTGAGAATGTAACAGTCCTGTGGCTAGCTTGCAGAGTAATTTAATAAACAGTTTTATTAGCTCCTCTGATAACCAAGACAATAATTATTGCTGAAGGCAATCTTGCAACTATTCTCTTTTTTGCAGATACAAACATGGCTTATGGGGATGGGGATTCATCTTTTCATAGTGACATCTTAAGTCAAGGAATAAAAAGAAGTTGGCAACTCTAATGAGGAAATGCTTCCTTGGTTTTGGTGATGACAGGAAAGGCCAAACTTTCAGCACCAAAGTTCTGACTGCCTTTCACACAGTCTTAAGGATTAGTAAACCTGAAATTTGTTAAGGCATTTGGAACACATACTAATCATTGTTTCGGTATATAGACATAGATATTAGAATCTTAAATGCTCGCCACTCTAGTAGGCAGCTGTCAACCAGCAGAGCTAATTAAGAATGACCCTTTATTTGTTTTCCCCCTGATTATTATGAGTATCTCTCACTCCATCTACCACTTCTTAATGTGAACAGAGATTGTATAGAAAGGGACCCCACTAAACTAACTGGCACATATATCGAATCTGCTTAGCCTGGGCTGTTAAGTAAGTTTAATTAATTTACTAAGTTAATGTTCCAGTGCTAGCATGAAAGCATCATTGCTATCAGCTGGGTAGCAGGAATTGGAACCCTAAATGAGCTCATTTTTTCACAGTTGGAATTAGGGACCAGTTAGCCAGTTATATGGTTTTCCAATTTCTGCACTTGCCCTGAGGGAGTTGCAAGTTATTCATTCCCCAGGATTAAGTGTGAGTAAGAAAAAAGAGCTACTTGGGATTTACTTCCATCTTTGACTCAAACAGTGTCTATTCTCTTTAGTTTTCTGCCCTAGAAGTGAATGTGTATGTGCGTTATTTTGAGAGGCTGGCAGTACAGCATCTCTAAGAAATGTTTCCTATGAGTATTTTTTTGTTGGAAAGGTTTGCAGATAAAGGTGTATGTGTGTGTGTGGAGGCGGGGGGAGAAGCAAAACAAATAAACAATAAAAGAATGGAAACAAAATTACAGAAATTTGCAAAGTTTGACAAATGGTGGTCTGGAGTTGCCACAAGCTAATGGCTTGCGATGATTAATAAGAGTAAAAATAATTGCATTTCATTAAGATTGATGACACCCCATTTAACCTCCCTTCTCGTTTCAGCCCTAAAGTGGAAAGAGATGAAGTTCTCATCTATAATAGCTCCTGTAACATTACCATGGAAACTGAGGCAGAGATGGAGTGTGAGGGACCTAATCAGCCAATTACCGCCAAGATTACTGAGATATGGAAAAACTGGGGCCAGAACACTCAGGTATAATCAAATCTTTTTTATAGACTGATTCAAACAGCTTAAAATTAAATTTATAATATTGTGTACATTTAAGTGGAAAAAAAAAACCTTAGGCCAGGCAGAGGCAATATGTAATTTTAAATGCTTTCCAACTGAATAGCTGAGCTAATGCACAGCAAAGGAACTAATTCTTAACTATGGTTAACCACAAGTTAATAAATATGAATGAGGCCTGCTGTATTTAATTGCTTTCTGTTGTCTCTTTATTTTTTCAAGCTCCTTTCTTATAAATGATGCTTCTTCCTGCCTCTGTTGCTGAAATCAGAGATCACAATCATAGATCCCCCCCCAAATTATTATGGTCTCTTCTCATGTTCTTCAGGCAATGAGCTATTAGCTAGTTGAAACAAGAAGATGATAAGCTTTATTGGAATATGAACTAGCAGTTACATACTTCTTCCATACTGCCAGATATTTTTAAAGAAATCATGTTGCCTCTTCAATCCTTATGGAAGAAGAATTAAAATAATTGAAACTATTTCTGAGTTATGTTCTTTTGAATAACAGAGTTAATAAAGCTGTGTCATTTCTACATTCCATTAATATCTGTAAGAAATATAAATATTGCTTACACTTATCTGTCTTTCTTCCCTTTTGTCCATATTTGGACTGCTGTAGGAATTCTATGTGTAAACACACACACACACAGTGTGTAACACTCAAGTGACTTTTAAAAAAAAACTATTTTGTCAAAAAAAAACCTGGTAGTTTCTGTGCTGTTCCAGACAAGTTCAGGACAAAGGCCAAAAATAAATTCATGCAGATGGTATATTTATGTCTATTGGGTGTATTTAAATTCTAGTAAGCATAATTAATATCCAATGAAGTCCTTTTTCCTCAATTCAGCCTGTGTATACACTACTTATGATTTCCTCAGTTGGGAGATATGTAATCTGCCAAAAGTCATTGCATTGCGTAACAAATTGAATAGGTAAATAAAGGTAAACAGAAACATTTTTAGTGTAAATGTGAGTAGATGGGGAAAATGACAAGAAAATCTGCTTGCATAGTTTTCAGTTTGAGTAGATTTTTTTTTCCTCATGGAGGCAGCTCATGAGCTTAGTCTTTTCATTATAGAGGCCTTTGCAGTTTAGCAGTAATTCCTTTTACCTTTTATCTTCTGAAAATGATAGGTAGAAAATGGTTTCAGGGTTAAGAAATGAGAAAATATTCTGGGGATGATCTTTTAAAATTAAAACATTATTAAAATAAATGAATTTGGAGAAATTATAGGAGAATAAAACTTTAACTTGGCACAGGGACTGTAAGTTGGTCCTTTTTACATAGAGCCTGTGGGAGACATTTAATTAGCATCAGTCATACCAAGAATGAATGAATACAGAATTCGATTTCTTTACATTTTCCTGGCTTATAGATAGGTCTTGATCTGGCCATGTGCTACTTATTGTCATTTTTTTTCTTTAATTAATATTGTGAGAAGGGAAACCTGGGACAGTCAAACATCTACTTTTTGAAAGTTTTGATTTCTCATCTCAGCCATTACTATACATTTTCCTGAAGTCCTAGAACCGAATTCAGAATGAGAGTCAAGGCAGAGAAGATGGACATTTTAGTAGGGCAGGTAATGGCAACTTTTCTTCACAAACTTAATGAAGTAAGAAGGGTCCATTTAGTAGGCCATCAAGTCCTAACTCCTGTTCTCTGTAGGAATATAAGAGAAAGGGTTCAGGACAGATGTCCTTTCTTTGCTTGATAACACTCAATGAATGGGAGCTTCCTGCCTCTCTGAGGGATTAGTTCCAGTGTTCTACTTTTAAGTGGCTTTACTCTTAAAAGTCCCCCTCCCTCACCCATAGTATTCAACTGGTTTCCACCTTCCCATCTTTTGGATTAAGGTCTGAAATGAGGGAGGTTCTGTGATAAACATCTAGCAGTTTTTGCACAAGTAAACAATCAAGATGTCTGTTTGCTATTGTATCCGAGAAGCCACACCACGCTTGGGGGCAAGAGTGCAATCAAGAGTTCCATTTCTATTTGCCACAAAAGAGTCTGGGCAGCATGAAATAGATGGGCCTGCTCTTACTTGTGTTGCACTGTTGATGTGAATGATCCAGGAAAGAAATATTTGTGAAGAAGATAATTAAACTGTAAGATTGTGTAGCTGTCTTCACAACTATATATTACCAGAATGCTTGTTTTCTTGGGGATGCAAATGGTTGCCAAGTCTGTCACCTTACATAGCTGAGGGACTGGAAATGCTGACCATTTCACACTGAGAAATGCAGTTAGGGACTATTCATGTGAATCATGTGAGTGTAAAGATAGGTTTATGTTTCTGACAGAATGGTTTAGCAACGAGGCAATAAAATGGAGCATGTTACTTCAGACTAAGTTTAGTTGTTAAAATCATGTGTTGTGTTTTATATAATTAACAGAAATGTTATCTGTGAAATTGGAAATAATGATTTGGGTTCTCTGTAAGTTTTGGTAATCTAACAGGAGTAGGAATACATAGCTTTGTATCCTGGGAAGAACCATACAGAGGGTAATTTCATGCACACATAATTTATACAATCATTGCAACATTTTCATTGTCATATTGCAATGAGTTCCACATAGAATGCATGCATATAAAGAAGGTATAATCTGAAGTTGTAAATTTGGGATTTAAATTTCCTCCCAATTAGCTTTAATGGATGAGCACCATCAATTTCATTCTGAAATAGAATATATATCTACTCTCTCTCTGCCATCAATGAATATCTTTATTCCACTTCCCTTAAAGATTTTTTATTATCTGTGGACATTTTAGCAATAACACTTAGACTTACAGTGCTTTAAAGCCCTCTGTATGCGGTTTTCAGAGTCAGCATATTGCAATCAACAATGTGAGTCCTCCTTTTACTGACCTCAGAAGAATAGAATACTGAGTCTACTTTGAGCTGGTAGGATTCGAACTGTCAAATTGCTGGCAGTCAGCAGTCAGCAGAATTGGCCTGCGATAGTGCATTCTAACCACTGTGCCACTATGACTCATGATTTTGACAACTAAACTGTAGTCTGAAGTAATATACTCCATTTTATTGCCTCATTCCCAAACCATTCTGTTAGAAACATAATGGTTTTGTATTTTGTATGTTTGATGTTGATCATATTGATCAAATTACAGAGCAAATGTATGTGTGTGTGTAGTGTGTGTGTGAGAGAGAGAGAGAGAGGGAGGGAGGGGAGAAAGAAAGAGAGAGAGAGAGAGAGAAAGAGAGAGAGAGAGAGAGAGAGAGATTTGGTGTAGCTCACATAGTTAGTTCCTGTTCTTTTGGAGATGAAACATTAACTCAGTTCATGCTGCCACTTTCTTGTTATACCACATGCAGCCATTCTGTTCTAAAAGAAATATGAATTTCAGAATCTTGAGTGTGTCAGATGAAGCCTAAGTCGCATGTATGTGTTGAGGAGGAGCAGATAGGTCAGATAAGTGGTTTCAATTTTACTTGACAGCCTCTTGCTAAGATTTATGATATCGTGCAATATATACATGCTTCTACATAAAGGTTTTAATCATGTCATGCAAACTGGCCTTCCCTTCCCACTGGAAATAATGGTGCCAGTCAAAAAAATGCATTAATGGCCTTTTGTATGTTGGGTTACAGTAATGGTGCTATTAGCAAGAGGCACAAAATGTCAGAGAAGTAATGGGACTTCACCTTTTCCTTAGACATGTGGACATCTCTAAGGAATTTAGACAATTCTGCATGCATTGGTTCAAAAAATGTCTTATCAGTTGGCATCTAACTTTGTTGGCATTAGCAAAATAAATTCATTTTGAGACATACTTGATAGTTCTGGGAAATTCTGATATTGAGAAAACGACAGGTCAATGTTTCACCATTCTTCCTTTATGAGAAAGCAAGTGATTTTTTACTTTCACAAGTAGCAATTCATTTAACTCCATTCAAAAGATCTTTCTTTCCTTCCCCTGCTTCAATTTATGTATTACAATTATTTACATAATTCTTGAGAATGGTAAGTCTACTTAATTTTACTTTTTTGGTAAAAGTATATGAAGTAGAATTTTATATACATATAAAACTACATATACTGATTATGTATATAATATATAGTATGTAAGCAAGCATGGTTGCAAATCTGCTGTAATCAATATACGTTTTTTCATAACTGAGAACAGACTTGTGACAAATATCGAAAACTGTCCTTATATTTCTGGATATTATTGTGCTTTAGTGGCATTTTCCAGATTCTGTTGATTTGTTTTGACCAAGCAAAATCCATCTTTGCATGTTAGATGCTGCCTGCAGAACAAATGAACAGGTAGCTAAGTAATAGTGTCTGACTTTCATCTGAAGTGTTAACCATGGAGCCGTGGTGGTACCCTGGTTAGAAAGCAGTACTGCAGGCTACTTCTCCTGACTGCCAACTGCCAGCAATTTGGCAATTCAATTCTCACCACCTCAAGGTTGACTCCATCCTTCTGAGGTCACCAAAACAAGGACCCAGATTGTTGGGGACAATAGGCTGACTTTGTAAACTGCTTAGAGAGGGCTGTAAAACACTGTGAAGTGGTATATAACTCTAAGCGCTATTGCTATTCCATCTGGGTGAATAGTCATTTGGTTTCTGTGATTTGCACTGTGGATTAAATGAGTAAAACAGTTTGATGAAATATTATCAGCAAATGCTGGACTGTGGATTTTGGAAAAGATGAAAGGGAAACTTGTTGGAAACTGGGTAATGAATTAGACTGGATGGAACAGAGTTGGCTGTAGTAAAACTTTCTGTTTGCAAAAGTTTCTGATAGACACAGTTGTAAAAATTATGCTGTAACACCAGAAATTGATTAAGAAAACAATATATGGGGGTTTCTTGGCTTCTGTTGGCGATACCATCACATAATGACCAAAGGATGAGGACAGCAATGCGTTATCACTCTTTTGTTAAATATTCTACACATCTTTCATACATATTCCTAGACCAGAAAAAAA